AGGAACGCGTGTCTTTCAAGCTAGCAAGACTAAAGCTACTCAAGAAAAGGGGGGCGTGATTTGCACCTTTGGCTGCCACGTCTGCCCAAGGTGTCCAGCGGGCTCCGTTGTCTTGAACATACACTTGTGCAAACCCCCAGGTGTTCTGCTGCACAAAGGCAGATCCCCAAACTGTGCCTGAGCAATCCACCAGAATGAGGCATCAATTGCCAACTAAATATTTATGATGATTTCGGTAGGAGGTGTTCTAATCTGTTATACTGTTAGCAATTTGGGAACTGATTAACGTGTATACATTGCCACTAATTCCAGGAAACATTACTCATTAGAACATATGCTCCATTTGGGAAACAGACAGCAACCACCTGTGTTTAGGTTTGATTCAAGTGAACAGGTGTCCAGTGAACGTAGGTGAGCTAACTAACACATGTGGGTTCAGGTTCTTCTCTTGAAGCTGTAAAATCTCAAGTGGTCAGAGGCCTCCCTCTTACCTGGACACTGGTCAGAGTCGTGTACTGGTATGCTCGGACAATCATGTAATTCGCTTCCACATCTGCTAGTCCCAACAAGATGTACTTCCACCATTTTCGTTTCAAGATGTATAAAAGGTTATCGCTGCCTGGTTGAAAGAAGTCTGAATGAGTACATGTGGCTTGCGAAGGGCATCATGCATGTTAATTTGGAGATTCAAAGGTTAAAGCCGGGGTTTCTCGTGTGTTTGGGATGTGACACCGCTTCTTTTCCTTTACTCCGTCTCCCAAAGGCCCTCACCAGCTCAGTAGAGTCATTTGCATGCTTCTTATAGTCTGAGACCCAAGTTCAAATGTCACCACACATCAAGGGCTCGGAGAGAACACTGGAGAGAGAATTAGGAGGTGGACAATGGTTGCCTTTCCCATTCCCATTGTAACAGAGATACAAAAGTCCGGATATGGGTTTGCTTGTTGTTATTCCTGACAAGCCACCGGATAACCTGGGAAAGGAAATCCTTTCCTGTGACTTCTTGGTTGTTTGACTTCTGTTCATGGATTTCAACAAAGGACACTCTGCAGGAGGTCATGTCTCTGGACAAGAGGTGCTTCTGTGAGTGAATTTGACCACTTCAAAGAGTCTAGCACCACAGGAAATATAGGTTTGGCATCTAGCTGAGAAGGCTTTATGGTGAGAAATGTATCAGGAAAGAAAGGCAGTCAGAATCATAATGGACTGTCATTGAAACCCAATTAGTAGGAACCCCTTGAAGCACAGTCTTTCTCAGCAAGGGATGACAGGAAAGGCACTTAGCGACCAGCCCTTAAGGGCCCCTGCACTGCTGTCTTGAATCCACTGACTTCTTGAGGGTCAGTGCTTATCTACACGCCATGCTTGAGCAATACACCACACAGAACACTTGGCAGAATCAAGCATCGATTGCCAACTAAATATTTATGATGACTCGAGTAGGAATTGTTCTCATGTGCAGAGCACCATCCAGCCCTAATTGGAGGGCTATTCTATTTCCAGCTCCTAAATCTCTTGCCAGATTTGGTGCCGCCCCTTCAGGTGTTTCCCCGCTTTAAAAAAATAAGTAAGCTATATATAAGAATGCCACTAATATCCCAGGGCAGTGGGTTTTTCTTTTAATAGGCCCTTTCTGGCTAGGGTCTTATAACTCCCACAAAAGGGTTGGGCAGGACTATGCAAATAAGACATGTAAAATTCTTGCTGGGTTGACTGGGACTATACAAATAGGTGCCTGTGGCACACCAAGGGATTGGTCCCTTTTGCCATCTTGCTAGGTTTTAGAAACAGCCAATCCCACAGGTTGAGCTTACTTCCATCAACAAGAAGCGCCAAGACAGAGCACATCCTTTGGCTCCCTGCACCAAGAACCTCCTAGATCCAAGAGACAGACAGTTGTAACAATGTAGAACTCTAGCATTGCAGAGTTTGATCGCACTGGAGGTGCCTATGGCAAGGGATAGCAATGGCATAGGGCAGCACCAGCGCAGGACCTGCAGAGAGCTACTCTGAGTCCCCAGTCCTCAGAGCCAGACAGCTAAATGCCTTCAGGCAGGAGGCTTCCTGGCAGAGCAGGGTACATCTGGACCCTCATCTGAAAACTGAAGGCTATAACACTTGCCCAAGCACACACAGCACAGGGCAGGACCAAGCAGAGGCCTGCCTGTGGGCACACACACTGCCCTGATCAAAGAGCGGTATCTTGAGTTGTTCTTGTTATTTCCCAGTTGTTCTTGAATTAAAACCTGTTATTTCCCTAATAAACCTCATAATCAGACTGTGAGTGCTATGTGTCTATTTCAATCTCATTTAATTTATTCTGTAATGTCCTCGTCTCTCATGACAATAATCAGCCTCTTGGCTATAATCAGCAGCCGTCACAGAGCAATCTGAGAGCCTGGGCTCTGGATCAGATACCGAGCCTGGAGTCCAGGCTCAACCAGAAATTCCCTATGTGACTTAGAGGAGCCCTAACTGCTATCTGCTTGTTTCCTCATCTATTGAACCAAAACCAAACTCATAGTAACCCTGTAGGACCGTGTAGGGTTTCCAAGACCATAACTCTTTGCAGAAGCAAACTGCAACATTTTTCCACAGTGAGTTTGAACCACCAATCTTGCAGTTACCCATTACGGTCATTACATAATTTCATGTGGCGTGAAGATAAATGAAAGTGGTGTTCAGCCTGTCAATCAGGTCACAGCCTGGTGGTGCCTCCTTGTGAATGTGGACTTCCATAAGGAGGGCCCTGGGAACTTCCCCTTCTCTCTCTGCCTTTACTTTCCTGCTGGCTGACTCTGATTCTGCCACCACCATTGGATTCACAGGACTCTGCACCCACCAGCCTGTGCTCTTCCTGCATTCTGCATCGTTGCATGTGCTGCGTGAGTCTGAAGAAGGACTTATGGACCAGTATCGGACTTAGGGACTTGAGTTGAACTGGGCTGGAATGTTTTCTCAATATATAATTACATCTTGATATAAAGCTCTTTCTTACACATATATGAAGTTAGCCCAGCCTAACACACTGGTGAAGTACTTTTAAACCACTGTGCCCCAGGGTTTCTTCCTCATCTATAAATGGGACCTAAATTGTGTGCACTTCAATGAGTTAACTCATAACTTAAATAAGTGGAGTAATTACTAGTACAAAGTTAGTCTGAATCTAGTTTTTTCCCATCTTTGTATATAAATAATTCTATGATAGTTTTAAAACAGCTTAAACAAACATGGCTGTTGACTCAAATCTGAATCATAATGACCCTAAGACAGAATAGAACTGTCCCACGAGGATTCTAAGGTTATAATCTTTACAGAAGCATACTGCTTCATTTTTCTCCCACAGATCAGCTGGCGGGTTTGAACCACCAGTCTTTTGGTTAGCAACCACGTCTTTAACCACTGTGTCACCAGGGCTCCCCAGCCTGTGACAAAGATATTAGCTCCTTGTCTTTGCTTCTCTGACAATAGACTTGATCAACATGAAGCTGATGCTCCATTTCACATTTGCCATTTAATTGGAAATTCCTATTTTGTAGAAAGAGGTTCTTAAATTTTTAACTCTCTTTAATATTAATTTAATCAACCTCACGGGAAAAAATTAAACCTAACTTGTATTTATCATATATATATGATATAATATATATATAATATCATATAAATATATATATGATATATATATAAACAGATGGTGCTACTTACTTTAATATTTTTGGAACATTATCCATAAATACCTAGTCACTGTTTTTCATAGACTCCAGAAATATTATACCTTTCTAGTAACTTTTATGAACATACCTATAGTTTCCAGCTCTTTACTTTGTTCTATGTCTCAATATTAAAACATCTGGAAACCAAAAAAAACCTTCTTTATAAAAATAATTTTTCTGACAAAGGAATTCCCCACATTTGACATACCTGATCGAAATGCCAGCATCATTGTATAAGTGAGGAAGAGCAGGCAGTAGTTGATAAAGCTCTGGAGCATTGGGGTGTTCACTTTGTATCTTTCTGCCAAATACTGGCTGGCGATGGCTGTCCCACAGATAGACAGGGACAACATCTGGCCCAGGACAATGGTTTTCAAAATATTCCTAAAAGATGAGGGAGGAAATCAGAACAATTTTCAAATAAATGATCCCTTTAAAACACCAAGCACACAAACACACACATATATTTTAGTGCTAAATATAAAGGAAAATGTGAATCACTCCTGGTGTTTCTTTATTTTAGGTCATCGTTTCCATCTTATGCACTTAATTGTTCAATGTTGAGAGACTACATTTTTATTCTTTATGACATTCTAGATTATGTGCCCCAACTCCCAAATAATTATATATATGTATGTGTGTGTATGTGTGTATATATATAGAAAACCATTTGAAGAAGAGTGGGACCCTCCACGCTGACAACTGCAGCGTGGGGAAACAGGTTGTAACAAGAAGGGTGATGGTGGAACAGCATGATGAACCCTAAGACAACATCTACCCAAGAAGAACGTAGAAATAGCCACTGTTTTTACAAAGATATTTACTATCTATGTATCTCTATGTGAATTGTGGAGAAATGAAGCTAGAGACACCGCTGGCTAGGTGAGCCAGAAGTTGTTAGATGTGTTCGAAGGAAACACTGTTTCTTCGTGATGATGTTCAGTCCGATTCTGGGAGACAGTGGAGGAGCACGAGCGTGGGAACTGAAGTTGTTGATGGAAACGAGATCACCACGGCTCGACAGTGAGATGAGAAGACGGTGAAGAGGAAACCCTCTGGGAACAGAAACAG